TTCTGTTCTCCGTGACCTCATTTCCCTTCGCCATAACCTCAGGCCAAAGTTGGCAGTCTGAGCACTCTCAAGGACACAGCTTGTGGCGCTACATACACCGATACTCCCTCAGGTAAACAGGAGTATGTGCGGCGAGTATGTGGCCTTGAAGCTGTGGTGTGTTCAACTTTAAACAACTCCTGCAATCAAATGTGCCAAGATTGAGTGTAACAAGCCGTTCGGTGTGATATAGCTGGTCCATTTTAGCGATGTTTACCATGAAAATAACGTATGTGGCTTATTTCTCCCCCTGGTGTGAGTTTTTAGGTCCCGAAACCTCTAAAAAAGCAGAAATTTGCCCACGAAAACGGACGGGCGAGGCGTGGGGAGGGCGCTGTTGACGCCTGCATGACCCCCAAAAGGTCGAAGGTCATGGGGCACGTCCGTTGTGCAATCTTAGCCGATTTAGCTTACACTACAACGCGAACCTGTCTATATTAGCAACCGCTAATATTTCTATCTAGTTTTGCCTTATTTTACCAATACAGTAATTAATTACACCCCTATACAACAGTGCACGTTTCTAAGGTCAAAGGTGAAGCATCGAAAAAGTTGGAAGCGAGGACCTCCATTTTGTTTTGCTTCACGAAAAAGTGATCAGCGGTCGTTTCAACATGCCCCCAACGGTACAGAGTGGACAAAGAGAGCAAAGGTATGTCTAGAGACTATTTTCACTTGGACAGAGGCTTTAGAAATTACGTAAACTGAGTGATTAGGACGGGAAAGGTGCGCGTGGCTGCTGATTTTATATACATGTGATTAAGCTACGTCGTCATGCATGGTTTCTGCTAGTGCTAGGCCTTTTATAATCACTGTGTGATGACGTTTTGTTCAACTTCGAATTCTGTTGTCAAAGAAACTGATGTTTGATCATTCAATCGTTTCTTCCGATTCAGGTCCAGAAAACATGGGCTTTCTGCAGAGAAAAGGTGAGAAAATTATCTTTCATGTCTATGTAAAAATACTTGTTGTTGTCTTTTTAGTTTTCTTTCTACTAGTATGATATATATTGTTTTGAAGTTACCAAAGAACATGAAAGTATAGACTAACACATAATAACAGTGTGTAAATGCAAATTATGTCCGAGGGTTAAAAAAATTATGTCTTTTTGCTTCATGCAGGTCAGAGCTTGTTTGCAGACCCAAGTACACAAATGCACTGCCTGACATTCCCTTTGACCCCAAGTTCATCACATATCCATTTGAATCCAACAGGTGAGTTATCCATTCACACATCTGTTAATACAGGCACATTGTACTTTAAGGTGGCCATTCTTTTTTGGAAGTCTTTATGATTAATGCTTCAACTGTTGTTGATTGGTAATATTGATCCACTTGTCTGTTTACTTTGATACCTTTTTCTGGTTGATATGTTTATTTTTCCTTTGCTTTCCAGATTTGTTCAGTACAATCCGACATCATTAGAGAGAAGTTACAAACATGAGCTGCTAACAGAACATGACCTTGGGGTCACCATTGATCTCATCAACCCTGACACTTATGCTATTGATGCAGAAGGTAAGTCCCCATTCACCTGGGAGCGGCAAGATTTCTGTTTCAGGATTACAGACACACCACAAGCTTGGGCTGGCCCAGTACATCCCTGCCCCCAGAGGTAATCAGGACTCCAAGTGCGGCCATGTAAATAGAGTTTAAGCACAATTTTGGTTCTTTTTTTGCACTTTGTCGTTTTCATGTTTTCTTTTCAGCACCATCACCCCACCGGCCGCACTTAGCCGTGCACCCAGCACCCTGGTCGTGAGGGGTTTTGACCAGTACCACATAGAAGTAGACTTGTAATAAGTGCTAAATAAGAAATTACTAGTACAACAGAGATGGTTGAACTTGCACAGATATCAAGAGGACATTTTGTTGAAGAGTAACATTAAATCTCTTTGTTTCTTTTGTTCTATTTGTTAATGAATAATCGTTCTTGAAACAGATTACCGGTAATTTGTCCATGTTGTATGATCTAAAAATTCTATGTACAAAACCCTGCATGTCTGATTGTGTGTGAATGAGATGTGTGTCTTCCTACTCCATAGCTTACCTGGACCCATTAGATGAGAAGCTGCTAGAAGAGGATATGTCAACCCCACAGGATTCCAAGAGGTAAAGCAACAGTTGTTTGAAACTGGTACAAATGTATCCATGCAAGGTCATATCCTCTACATGAATAAAACTGATATTTATCCACAGCTGCTGTTTGTTGTTGTACCTTCATATCAAATTCATACCTTAATTTTACTTCTATCTCCAGATCCAGACATCATGCCAAGAACGTGTCCTGGTTAAGAAGAACAGAGTACATCTCCACAGAGTATAACAGGTTCACACCTAGCAGTGAAAAGGCAGAAACAAAGTAAGTGTCATTGTCTAATGTTTCTTTTTTAACCATTGTTCATGTATATTCTGCCCCATGAGGTTTTTGTCCATGTCCGGTTGCATTTGTTGCATTAAATAAAAGTATTTTGTTTATATATGTGTTATGTATCTATCAACAGAGTGAGTAAGTAGTTTGGTTAGTGCTTCATCTACATGTATATTTGAAACATGTGACCTGCTGAAAACAACTCTTATGTTGCTCAATTTTATTTTTCAGGATTGGACATAGCATCAAAAAACAGTTCAAAGAGGAAGACATATACAAGGTAAGAAACACTACATTAAGTCCACACAAAAAAGTCTTCTAGTTATTTTTGTCACTCCATGGAAGATAAAAAAAACAGACTGGCTCTCATACCACTTTGGCAAATTGATTCTTGATATGACGTGTAACAGTCCTTTTTGTATTCTCTTTACAGGATAGGGAAAGTCAGATTGCAGCCATCGAAAAGACATTTGAAGATGTTAAGACGCCAGTAAGTATCAGAGCATTTGGCCTTGTAATGACTTTATACTAACTGCTGCTTTCTCGACTTAAACCATGGCATTTTGAACTAGAGTTCCGCGATCTCATACCTTCGCCAAATGATGTTAATCTTTATGGCTGACAAATATAGATTATTCCCCCTGATTGTGCAGATAGGGTCCTCATTTCCATGAATTATATCTTATTCTCATTTATCATATTCTCAACCAAAAGTCTTATATTAACAAAAGGTGCCATTCTATTATTTCCTCATAAATTATGCAAATAAGGTCCTGATTTAAATACATCATGTTTAATGATGTTTACCTTCACTGAACTTTCAAATACCACAAGTATGAAATTCCAGGCAGTTATCTTTACAGAATTATAACATTTTCTCATTAATTATGCAAATTAAGTCCTCATTTACATAATCAATATCTGCCTGTGCTTCTCTCCTTCTCAATTACCAATCTCACAAGCTTCAATAGTCCTATCATGGAATGCAGCTGATTTATAGAATATCCCCATAAATTATGCAAATCACATCCACATTTGCATAATTGTCACATAATTACATCAAGCATCACATAAGCTACCTACATACCAAAAATCACGACGATCCGTCAACTGGTTCTTGAGTTATCCTCTTTTGAATATTTTCAAACAGATAGCCCTGCAGTTCCAGAGCAAGCCGCTAGGGGGCTCAAACTGATGTCACTTCTTCCCTAGCACAAGAGCTACCTACCACCTAAATTTCGTCACCCTAGCATGTCTAGATCCTGAGATATCAAAACCGGAAGTTTAGCTGCAGTACCATAACAAGCCGCTAGGGGGCCCAAAATCTAATCAGTTCGAGCTCTCATCAAGACCTACCCACCTACCAAATATCAAGATAATCCATCTAAGCTTTCTCGAGATATGCTGTTGACACACAGACAGACAGACACACACACGGCCACGAAAACATAACCTTCTCCAATTCTTGGCGAAGGTAATGATGACTGACACTGAGCCACTCCTATATTCTTCTCTTGCTTTCACCAGATCACACAACATTACAGTAAGGGTGACAGGGTACAGCCACTGGAGGTTCTGGAGTTCTTCCCTGACTTTGAAGTAAGTTCTTTCATATATACTACATGTACTATTAGTGCTGAAATTTGGATGCATGGTTGTTTTTTCAAGCTTTTCTTCTTTCAGAAAATGTATTTATTTGATACGGACGCATTAATTCTGAGTGCTTTGTAACAGCCTATAAAATGTCAAAGATTAAGACAATAAACTATACAATCCCCATTTCTTAAAATAATGCATGTACTTGTATAAGATGTATAACACATTTGTATAGAAAACACAAAATAGGTTGCAGTAGTCCCATTTTCTTTAAATTTTGGCCATGTTTTGACAATCCCTTTGAAGATGTATACCTACACATCTAAGTTTAGACCCCATATACATGCAGTAAACATTAGGTTAAGTCAGTTTTCATTGTTTTGTCTACTGATGTGTTTTTGATTACCCAAGTTCAAAGTGTGTAAGGCTGATAATGTGTCCCTTCTGTGCAGAACTGGGCCTTCCCATGTGCCCAGGTGATATTTGATACAGACCCAGCTCCCAGGGGCAAGTCTGTGCCTGCAGCAGTAGAGGAGATGTCACAGGCCATGATAAGGTGGGTTGGCATGGTGACAAACTCTTGGGGGAAAAAGACTTGGCATTACCTCTGGACCTCTTACTGCGTCTTGGATACCCTTAGTTTTACAGCCACCCCTACATTTGATCAACTACAGCATTGTATGATTATGAAAATTTAAAAAAAGTTGTACTGAATTTTGTTTTTGATAATATTGAGTCATATGTACCTGAGCAGTGTCTATATTATACTTGCCTTGCTGTCCTTTTGTTTTTACACATACTTTACTGTTAATCCAACAGAGGTATGGTTGATGAGGAGGGAGACCAGTTTGTGGGCTATTTCCTACCGGTGGAAGAGACTGTGACAAAGAGGAAGAGAGAAGAGGAATCAGAAGTAGACTATGTGCCAGAGGAAGAGTGAGTCCCTTTGTAATATAAACAATTCACCTGAAGTGCTTTTGCCTTAAACTTTAGTTTCTATATGCTTACATTGTCTACTTGATGTAATCATCTCATGACTCACTTTTTTAAAATTCTGTTGATTATTTAATCATCACAGCAGTTGTTATCATTTGTAGTAAGACAGTATGTCTCACAAACAAGCCAGCTTACATGTATATGGTTGAAGTAACTTATGCTTGAGGCATGATTTTGTGTTCAAATATTTCCTGGTAACCCTTTTATTATGTGTGATGTCTTCTTAAGGTATGACTACATGATGGCTCGTGAGTACAACTGGAATGTCAAGAACAAGTCCAGTAGAGGCTATGAGGAGAACTATTTGTTGTGTTCAAGGAGATGGTGTGTACTACAATGAGCTGGAGACAAGGTAAAGCTTTCAACTAGATAA